GGCTCCCGATCGCGGCCCCGCGTCGCTCCTGCCTCTCTTAGGCCATGAAACAACACGCCGATAGGAATAAAAATAACCCACGTACCTACTTTAGCACCCAGCGGAGTTGACAGATGTCATCCCGATTGCTCCGTAGCAAAAGCATCCTCGGAGATGCCGTACCTCGGCTTTGGCACAACAGGCACCATCAAGCTGATACTCGAAAACCGTAACTCCTTCCCAAAAGGTGCCAGGGTTAGCTATAACCCTTTGTTTCTTTGCACTCCAGGTCTCTCCCCGCCAGCTTTCTGGCATTTGCCAGCGCGGCGCACGCTTTACTGGGCAGATCCCAAGCAGTAAATTCCTTCGTGCTCCTCTCTGCGCAGCATTCTGCAGCGAAAGCGCTACCCGGCCCGCAGATGAAAATGCCACTTACTGCTTACCCCTGCTGCAGCCCGTTGAATTAAAAACTCTTTGTTTGCAAGCTGTAAACAAGTTCTTCTTAATCTTGCAATAAAAAAAATGCCAATTATGCCCTCTCACAATGTAACTTCATTGTGGTGAAAGGAGGCATTGCTATTGCTCTAATCACGGTAACATATCAGCTGCTTTTAGAGTCAATTCCTTTTTGTGCAAAATTTAATGACCATGCAATTATTTAAATTTCAGACTAACAGACTGGGCTTTAGACCTACAATGCTGCTCCCTTGCTCTGCAAACACACACTTGAAAGCAACAGGAAAGCGCCTAGACCAGAGCTGCCAAGTTCAGAACACGGAAACACCTTTAAAACGCGCTCGGCCCCACCGGACTGCGGCCCACGTCGGGCACAGCAACGTCATTGGAGACGCGAGGGGAGAAAGCCAAATCCTCAGAGTCCTGCTACGGGTGCTCCTCTGGCCCCTGGCTTTCGCGTGGCTCCACTGGGGGCCGTGTTTATCTTCGGCTTCCTCGTCGCCCTCCGGTCTCGGTGCGTTTCCTGCAGAATCGCTGGCCGCAGCAGATGTGCCCTTCAGGCATTTCATCTTTTTCTCTCTCTCTCTCTCTCTCTCTACCATGGCATTATTTATCCCATTTGTTTCCAGAATCAGCTGCAGCTCCGGCGTCCGTAACTTTCCGCTTTGGCACACTCGGGAGATGCCTGCCGGGACGGCACCTTCCCCACTCACTCGCCCCGACCCTTCCAGGCCTCCACGCCACCCTTTCCCTTCTCCCGCGGAGCTGCCCTCCGTGCCCCGCACGGGGGGCCCGCCCGCGCCTCCGCTGCTCCACGAA